GGGCAGTGCGACCAAATAGCTCGCGCGTTCAGAGTGTTTGGGGCAGTGTGACCAAATAGCTCGCGCCTTAAGATTGTTTGGGGTAGTTTCTCGTTCACGGAAGGTAGTTTCTGTTACGCCCTGATGCCGTTTCCGTAACGCTCCCAGACTGGTTTCCGTTACGCCCCTTCGTAGTTACGGTGTCGTTTTCAGGGCCCCAGTTTCCATTACAACCGGCCAGTTTCTGTAACAGACTTTACTCTGACGCCGTCCCCCGTATAATCAAATATGAAACTAGGAAATCTTACCCCAGAAAAAAGGGACCAAAACACAAACACGAGACCATGACAAAATACTGCCCGCTTGCAATGTGGTTGTCCGTGGGCCAGGCATATACACAGCAAGGCAGCAAGACCCCAGCCTGTACGAGCTCAGGGTTGCGCCGGCAGGCCTTGCCCTAAGACTTTGGAGACCTGGGGTGAACATTCTATATCACTAGCAATGCATGGCCGATGTAGTTTGCGCAAATGTCGCTCACCGAGAAAACGAGCAGAACTCCAGTGAAGCCAGAGGGCGCTGAGTTGCTGAGGCGCTGAGCAATCAAGGTCACGTCCTTGGCAGTGGGCCGAGCGGAGGGGTCCTGGATGAGGATGGCAGCTAGCCTCCGAGACGCTTCTGCTTCTTCAGATGCAAGAAATAAAGCGGCACTGCGGACACTGCGGACAAGCAGCAGTGCCATCTCCGGACTATCATCATGTGGCTCGTTGCCAAGCCCGATCTGCCACTTGGCTACGCACCCAAGGCTCCACACGTCGGTAGGCGGGCCGTAGCGCTGGCAGGCCATCATCTCCTTTCGTACCCCTGAACCCGTCCTTCAACCCTCCCAATCGTGCTAATTAAGGTGAGGTGCAGGAGACTGGTAGCCGCATGTGCCGTAATACCCATGGAGGCCGTCTCCAAAAGGGGCCCCCTGCCCGAAGTCAATGATCTTCACGATGTTGGCATCCAGGGTGAGGTTGTCGGGTTTGACATCCCGGTGCACATATCCATGACGATGAATATGCGCCAACCCGCGCGCCACCTGATTGCTCACCTTGCAAAGGTTGAGAGCTCCGTTACCCGCCACTCCGCACCGGGCGGTTGTGGCAGGCTAGATAGACCTCAGTCCTTGCTGCAGTATATTGTTACCCTGCCACTCCGCACTAGGCGGTTGTGGCAGGCTAGACCTCAAAACAGTCAAAACACAACAACCAACAAATTCTTGTTGCAGTAATTATGTAATTGTTACCCTGCCACTCCGCACCAGGCGGTTGCGGCAGGCTAGAACACCACAGCCAACAGTTCCTGTTACCCGCGCGCGTGGGCCTTAGATTGCGGTGCTTCGTGCCGAGACGAGGGAATTTAAGTTTGAGACGAGGGAGCTTAAGCTGAAGAACTTGTTACCCTGCCACTCCACACTGGGCGGTTGTGGCAGGCTAGCACTGGATAGGGGATGATAGGGTGTTCGGGGGGGGTTTAGGTTTAGGGTTTGGGTTTAGGGCTTCGCCTCGAAGACGGAGGGCAGCTTCGGCGCATTTGGCAAGGCCAGGCCAGCGTGGCGCGTGATGAGCCAGAAGGTGCTGCCATCGCTGAACGCGGTGAGGAGCTTCACCACGTTGCTGTGGCTCACCTTGCCCAGGATCTCGGCCTCACGCTCTGCTGCCTCCTTGTAGCCAACCCACACCTCCATCATCAAAACAAAAGCAAAGAGCACTCAGCCCTGACTGTTGGATACACCCGGTCACCCGGCCTTCTTCGCAGCCACTGGCAGGTACTCCCAACGCCCTGAGAATACCTCCCCGCTGGCCCCCGAACCCAGCAGGGCGTCTAACACCAAGCCTTTGGGAAAGGCCCGGTGTGCGAGGCTGGGGGGAGGAGGCAGGTGATCCTGCTTGTTGCAGAAGGGGGGTTGTGGTGGAGGGACGCGTGGGGGTGGAAGACGCGCCGCCAGCAATGTGGGGGCTGGCGTGCGGGTGGGGAAATGGTCTGGTGGGCAGTCTGGTGGGGGTGGAAGATGTGGTGGAGGTGCCATGCTTGCATCAGGGTTGGGGGGGGGTGGGAGATGTGGTGGAAGCCGGGTGGCTGTACCTGGCTGCGGCCATGGAAGCTCAAGCCGTGCATACTTCATCATATGCCATTCAATGATCTATGGCCCAGATAGCGAATAGCCTGATGCGGAGGCCAGCAGCTTGGTGATGCCCTTCAACTGGCTCTCAAGCCGTTCCGCGTAGGCCACGAAGCCTCACACAAAGAAACCCCGGAGTTTACATACTTTCTGGGCTTCGCCGCTTGGATCTCATGTGCAACGGCCCCAAGGGCTGAGGATAATACCCCTCCCCAATCTCCAAAACGAAGGCCCCGGCAGCCCAGGCTAGACTCTGAACTCTGAGCTGCGTTTGGAGTTCAACCCAGCCTGTGACTAAGCCATTCACCCTAAGTTCCCGCTCTTAACCCCAGCTCCTAAACTTCCTAAACTTCAACACGCTTTGGTGCTTTGGATTCGGATTGTGGGTTCAAAGGAGCCAAGCAATAATTGCCAATGTTATCCCTTACGAACGCGGCTTAAATGCACAGTAAATCACTCCTACGCGCGCACCACATAGCAAAACCTCACACTCAAGAACAACAGCATCGAATCCAGGAAGTTGTTGCAGCCAAGCAATTTCACGCTTCTCCAGCGCATGCAACGGTCTCTTCAACGCACCACTAAGCAAAACATCACAATCGAGCCTATAGGCTTTCAACCTTAAAGCTCTTAGACCTGATGCTTTAAACCCCAGTCCTCAACTCTAAACCAGACAAAGCTTCTTAATGCTTCTTATATCCTCAACCACAAGCCGCTGCATGCTGTTCGCTTTGGGCATCCAGTCCACTGCCTGCCTCCCCCCCACATAGAAAAAGGCGAATGCTGGACTCCCGACTGTTCGCGGTTCGACTTTTGGGAACTTTTCGCAAATTCTAAACTCTTTTGGACTTTTCCGACGTCTGCGCCTTTCGACTTTTCGGGACTTGTCGGATTTCTCAGGACTTTTCGGTACTTTTCAGGACTTGTCGACTTCGACTTTTCGTGGATTTTTCGCACTTTTCGACTTTTCGAGTTTTTTGGGCGCACTCCATTTGCGGTTGCGACCGAACAACCGATCGCAATCACAGTTTCTGGGGGGGGTGGGGGGTTGTCCTAACATGAAGTCAAAATGATGCGGAGTAAAGGCATGTTCAAGTTCGAATGAGTTTCCGGCGGTCGTTCCCGCTCATCACGGCCTCTTCCAGGGCCTAGGCAAAACAAGCCACTCCACAGGTGGGCGCCAGGTGGGCTCCAGGTGGGGCCTGGAGCCGCGTGTGCACGTGCCGGAGCTCTTCAGCGTGCCGCCTCAGAAAGGAGCTTCTCTTCACTGTCGTGAGGCTGCAGCAGCTAAAGCGGAGCATGCAGTGGAGAATCAACATGTTTCAACCGCACCAGTGCGCTGAGTGCACATTATCCCCATGAGACAAGTGCTCACAATGCTCGCACATGGAGATCTTGTGAAGATCTGTCAGCTCCTCCAAGTTTTACACTAAGTATGCAGTATGGAGGGCGTGTGATGGCAAGACGTGGCTTTGGCGGGGTCCTTGAGCTCTGATGGGTCATGGGCGAAGTGACACTGGTCTCCGTAGCGGCACCGACCTGCAGACTCCAGCTTCTATTGTTCAGATTCGGTTCCAGACCGTGGGACCCGTGAGATCTGACACGCAGACCGACTTCATGGAAGCGGCACATCTTGGTTTTGCGGAACTGGCTGACCTTGGGACAAGCAACGAGGTCGACAAAGCAATGTGCACATGCCGCAGCTGAGTCGCAGCGGCACCGGTCGTCTGCGTACGGCTCATCTGACCTATAGCATGCAATCAAGAAGGCAGCATAATCACATGAGTACTTGTCTTCTTGATTCTCGTAGATTTGTCAATGCAGCACTGCCAGGTACAGGGAATCCGAACTGACTCTACAAGGCGAGTGCTTCTTAATTGGGCCGCCAACCCGTGATGTCAGTCCAGTGCACAAGTGCGATAGCGTCGCCCGCAGAAATTCGCTGAATGAGCCACGTTGCTTGCAGTATTGTAAAGATTATTGGCTTCCTACGGCTAGCTTCATCGCTCCAGACAAGACTCCTGCTGGCATCGGCACCCCTTCCCTAGAAACATCCCAGCATCGGCAGCCGGACAACGCTTGCCGCTGGGCACCGTCGTCAAACTTGCTCGGAGTGGTTTATCTTGGAGTTTCTCTGCAATCATGCCTCCATATGCCTCCTCCAGTACAACTACTACTGGTTCAGAAATTGTTTAGGAAACTGAGGCACTAGTTCCTTCACCTTGCAGAGTTTCAGCTAAGACACTTAGGGTATGGTCGTGTGCTGCGGGTGGACCCGACTGTTAAAACTCTGTTTAGTGCAGTGGCGGTCCCGATTCTCCAAATGCCAGGGTCACTGGCTCGAATCCCTGTGGGGAGATCTCCTGCTTGTGTGTGTTGATCACAACTGTAGGTGCTGGTACACTTCTGATCCAGGCCCCCTTTTGTAGAGACTGAAGCCCAACAGCATGTGCTGTTGGGAACAACTCCCGCGCACCCGCTCGTTTCAAGACAGTTTCGTTGCGCTTCACCTCGTTTGCCAGCCACCTGCCATCTTTCTACGTGCAAGAGAATTACTATATGCAAACAATCTTGCGCAAGCCATCGTTTCTCCTTCATCGAAAGCTCTATATTTCATCAAGATCACAAATACAAGGACTGCCCAGGTTAAGGAATCGTGACGGCACAATAACTTTTCTGTCGGGACTGGCTTTGCCCACTGACTTGAAATCCTTCGAATCATTTAACGGGTCCAGGCGTGAGCAACTTGGTTCAGGCGGTCACGGAGCCTGAAGTAAGGGATATGAACAGCGACAGGCACGCAGCAAGGAAGTGCTTGGCTGGCACAGCCAAGTTGACAGAAACAGCTCGATAGAGCACCCACCGATTGGTGGCATTCAGGTGTATAGCTGCCTAGTGCCAATTGCAAGCTTGCAGCTTGCATTTGTGTGTCAGCAGCATCGCATTTCTTTTGCCTATACCTGAACAATATAGTTCGGAGGCAGCTTGTCGGCTGTGGACGGCTGCGGCACGGATCGCTACGGAGAACACGGGCCCGGATCAGTCACAAGAAAAAACTGGGATCGTCACACACAAGGCCCCGGATCGCGCCAAAATATGGTCTGGATCGCTCGCCGTTTGGGGTCTGGAATGGCGCGCCACACATCGCCTCCCCCCCCCTAAACCAGACCGTACCGTACGGTCCATCCAAATGCGATGGACGCAT